TCTCCACTGTCCCAATCCTTTAATCAAATCCCATCGAACATTATAATTAGATTACCATGCCAACTACCAATAAGAGAAAGAACACACCTACCTAAAGTACTCTCTGTATTACACACCTACTATAAGTTCGAGCACATACTGGATTTATTCTTCTACACTTCTCCTCCACTTCTAGAGAAACCAGAGGAACTTAACGAAGTAACTAGATCACTGTTTCTCATTGTTGATAGAAAGGACCTTAAAATGCTTGCCGAAAAAGCTAGAAAATGGAGAAAGCACTACAGGGTCCCACAAAAACTATCCAAATCGTATTTCAATCGCCTTCTCCAAAGGAATCTCTGCCAGTATCATATAAACTTCTCCCACCTCATTTAGCAACATACTTTTCTTATGACCCCATGATAATGAACACATGTGAACTTATTGGCATACTGAGAAAGGAGTACAAGCTTATTATCTTGCCAATAGATTACTACAAGTACAAAAGACCTCTCTCCAGGTCCCCTAACCCACTCTTAGATGAGATTGACATTCCAATCCCAGCAAATACCAAAGAAAATGCAATGGCCTTAATTGCTTGTCTAAGAAGTGACTTCAAATTTAGCCTTCCCCTCAGCCTAGCATAGATTGATCCAGCAATCTCACAAACTAATAAGGAAAAACTGCCAAGTAAAATCAGTGAAGTAGACGTCTCATTAGGAATTGGCACCTTCCTGGACTATAGGGATGAGCAGTACCAAGAGAAAATTAGAAAACTCGACCAGAGATATGAATTTCTTATACTGCCAGAAGACTGGTTCAAAGCTCCTAAAGCACCTCTCCCTCAATTGAAGAACTGAACAAATTCAACCAAGAAAATTACATAGACATCCAATTCCCTCTCAGAGATGATGACGACTTACTAACCTACATCACTCAACTTCACAAGAGCTACAATTTTGACAGACTACTAGATGAATATATACTTGCAGAGAACTTACCGGAGCCTGGTTTTGATCTTATCCCATTTATTTGCTAAGATAAGAAGCCTATCCAACTATATACACTCATTGAACAGTTTTATACAAAATACTACTCCTGACACCAACACCGTTACCACAATTAAAAATTTTCTCAACATTACAACACTAAATATTAGAGATCTCAATGATAGATCAAAGTTAACAACCCTTACGCACAACCTCACAAATGAAAGGTCAATAATGTGTTGCTCCGAAACCAAAGTCTTCACAACTAATCCCCTCCTAAAGAAGCTTAATAACAAAATCATTATTGCAAGCACACCATCAGCATCATCAAAAAATGGATCATGCCTAATAGTAAGCGATAATCTAGTCAACCACATTTTTGCGACATATGCAGAAAATGAGTATTGGTGCTCAGCCCACATGAAATTCAAACTGAAAATTGACTTAATTGTTACAACCATTTACTTGCCTCATGAAACAAGCGAAAGGAAAAAAGCAACCAAATCATTTGTAAAGCACTTAAGAAAATTCAAAGGATCAACTCATCAGATATTGGCAGGTGACTTCAACTCATACCCTATAGGCACTCCATCCATCAATGCATCAACAACAAACATTAAAAAAACTATCTACAATTATTTGTTCAATTGGGTGGACATCATGAAAGTCCTAAATAGAGAAGGCGAATTTACTCATATAATACAAACTAGTGCATCAAGAATTGATCAAATTTGATGCACAAACCATCTCAGATCCAAAGTCCTTAGTGCAAAAACCTCAGAATTCCTATCAATAGTCACTGATTACAAACAAGTTCAAATAATTTTTAATTGGTTTGAATACAAGCTCAGAGTCCTAGGCTGTTAGACTAAGTTATTTGATTGGAAACAAGCCATGCCAGAACAGAGAAGCAACTTTCAAGAAGAAACAGATCTTAGAATCTCCATGAGGGACAGCCACTCTTGGCCCTCATTCAACCATACTATTGTAAATGCAGTTAAGAATAACCTACCACTAGTAAAACCAGTTATGAACAAGGCTCCTCAACACAATGGAGATCAACATTATAGAACAATCAGGCGAATTAAAAAGATTATTTCCAAAAAAAAGAAATCTATTTCAGTAAGGGTACCAAGGCACATTGTACAAATCCATGAAAAGATCTTTGGACCTACACTAATCTCTATCAAATCACTATACCAGATTAAAAATACATTTATCAAAGAAAGACTTAATAATATTAAAGAGTTTCACACTGAACAAGTTCAGAGAAACATTACTAACAACTTTATTAAATTTTGGAAAAGATTAAAAAGTTTTATCAAAAAAGCATTAGGCAACCTCAAGCCCTCACTAGACCTCAACTTCATACAAGACAAGCAAGGTATCCTTACAGATGATCCAGAGGAAATCAAAAATATCATAATCAACCATTTCAAAAAGGTTCTGACGAATAACAACTTCGATCTGTCCGATCCATTTTGGTTTGACAAATATGTTCCTATCAGTACAATAGAAGAAGGCACATATAACAACATCTTAAATTCAATCAGCCTCACTGAAGTTAAGGACACACTGCAAGAACTACCTCTAGATAAGACTCCAGGATGCTCAAGTATTACATATGAGATGATTAACTCCCTTGGACACATCTCAAAACAGATACTTTTACAGTTGTACAACAAGGTCATTGATGACAAAATCACTTCACAGAGCTGAAAAAAGTTGACAATCATTTTGCTTCCTAAAAAAATTATATGGTCACATAAAGTTTCAGACACCCACCCGATATCCTTAATCGAGTCAACGAGAAAAGTTTTTACAAAAATAATCAATACTAGATTGTTGAAAACTATATATGTGAATAATATCTTGTCAAAAGCTAGCTTTGCAGGGCTACCCAACCAAAGCACAATGGAACCATTAACCATTGTGGCCTCAAGCCTGAACACAGCAAAGAATCTGAACAGTGAACTTTGGCTGGCCTCCTTTGACATCGCAAAGGCATTCGATTCAGTCAACCTCAACAGTCTCAAAGCAGCCTTAAAGAGAATCAAAATCCCAAATAAGCTTATCAACATTTTTCACAGCCTGTTAAACAAACGAGAACTTGCAGTAGTAACAAACTTTGGTAGTACAAATAATATAGAGGTGTCAAAAGGCCTCGATCAAGGAGAGACACTCTCACCACTCTTATGGACAATCTTCTATGACCCAATGGTGACAACAATTCACAATAATGCTAGGCAATCACTAATCCCATATAGCATCCTCACGTATATGGATGACGGCAAACTCTCTAGATAGTCTTCAAGACCTCATAGACATCTTTTGCTCCTTTCTCATCCTTAACAACATCAAATGCAATTTAGACAAACCAATGCTCATCACTATCCTAGCTAACAATAGTAGTGCAAGGAATACAGGCTTGCAAGTCATAGATACAATAGTAAGACCACTTAGCGTCAAAACTCTCCTTCGATATCTAGGCAACTTCTTTGCAGGAGACCCAGCCAGAGGTATTCCAAACCAGACCTATATCAAGAATTTAAGCCAGATCATAGAAGCCTGCCACAAATAGAAATGAAACGGCCCAATATTAAAACAAGTGCTGGACTGGATTATTCCTAGCAAACTTAATTACACTTTTTTAACAAGCTCTCTCTTCAAACCGCAGTTATAAAAGCTCCAGACCAGAGTTAATAACGCGATCAAAGAAAAGTTTAAAATAGGAAAAACGATATCTGACAAAATCACTTACTCACAAGCTGGACTCAATCTGATAAACCTAGTGGATAATCAAGACCTTACTCTAATAAAACTTCTCATCGCCAAACTTACTAACACAAAGATCCAAGAAGCTATGTCACTGGAAATAAACTTTCTTCAAGCCAGTCTTGCTATCTGGCTTGTCCAATTTGTCATCCAGAGAATTCCCAGAAACATGGATTACGCAAGCTGTGACAGTTTCAAAAGAGTACAAAATTGACATCTGCCCTACTTCCTGTTAATACAATTACCCCAAAGGGAAACAATCACTAGGCCTTCACTTTTTATTTGACAGTAAATATCTAAAGCGTCAGGTATTAGGACTGAGCAGAGGAAACAAGTTCTTAGAAGATCTATTTACTTTCCAATCGAACAGAAGACTATCCTGGCATGAGTTTAACACACACTTTCGTTCATACCCAAAGGTCCCATACTTTCCTGGTTTACCAAAATTAATTCCACACCCATTCCTAAAGGAACTTTGACCTGTATACCAAACACGAGAACCAGATTCTGGGCTTTTATTACCAATAACGAACTGAGTTTCATTAAAACAAGAGTCAATCGTAACTGTACTTACTCTTAAATAAAGGGAATTCACTATAAATTAACAACGAGTAGAACTCTCAAAAAGTGCCAGTGTCATAACAACGGCTCCCAAATCATCATCCCAGTTACTAAAGCAATATCCCTTTGGACATACAAGACAAATAATGAACATTGCCTAGCCAACGTACTAGAGGAAATATGGCTTCAACTTCAACACATTACCATTCCGAACAATAATCCAAAAGTAGAAATCAGCTTTCACGAATATAGAGATCTATCAGTACAAATCAATGCCAATACCATAGAGGATCTTAAACAAGTTATCAACTTCAACAGACTATTTTTGCACTTCAATATTAAGAGCAAAGATGAATTATTAAGGATACATGAACACAACACTAACATAGCTCTTTACTCAACAAATCCGCAGCCAATCAATACTCTCCTAGGGTTAATCAGTTTAATGGAGGCAGCCAATGTTCAGACATATATATCAGTCAATCTCCCTAAGAAGCTTGACCTATATACTCCAAGCTACTCTAATCAAAGAGTCAAGATTTCATACAGTTTTTTAAAAGAAAAAATCAACAGCACATGTAAACGCAAAAACATCAAATTAAGACTAGAGTCAAGCCCAGTCATCTCAAGCTACCAAGACAGTGACATAATCATAGGGATTAATAACCTAGTAGAACCTGAAAGCTGTACCTCAAGCCCAAAAATTAAGAATAATTGGAGCTACAGCCCAGTCATCTGGACCAAAAAAATTTAGCGAATATATAGGCTCGCTGATGTTATTCAGAGCTCGTCAATCAAAAACAGGTGAAAAGTTAGCATGAAAGTATCAACACTTCAAATTCTAGCCAAGGCAAACAAGCTACTAATCAAGAAGGACAAAATAAATACCTCCTCCCTACTAGCCTTCAGACTCAAGCTGCTAAGTGAAACATTGCCATCTAGGCAATTGCTACACGATCGATATCCAAGCACCTACGCTGATAATCTTTGCTCCAGGTGCCTTACAGCAGTAGAAATCCAGAGTCACATTTTTAATTGCTATAAAAACATTGTAGCATACAACGAAATGGAAAACAAGATAAGGACAAGTCTAATAAAGCTTGTTAGGAAAAACAATAATAAGAAGCTCTTAACAGAAATCAAAAGAAGAATACAAAAACTAGACTTTGGCCAAAAATTCAACCTAGACAAACTTGCAAGCGGAATGCTAAGCATAGACATACAACTACCTGTCACCAGTCACACCAAGATGGCAAACAAAATACTAGCCCTACTATACCACAAATATGGATTCCAAAATCAGTAACAGCTAACACATCTGAAGTAAAGGGAGTCAAATGGAAAAGGCACTCCCCTCCAGCCAAAAGCCCCAATAACATTTACTTATCAAAAGCCACCCTAAATGATAAAAGTTTATTAAAGTTAATAATGGAAGCTACAGACTCACAAGCAAATTACAACAGCAGCACTATTAAATTACAAGTCTTTATCTTAGCTCTGGAAGGGCATTAACCATCCAGCACTAAAACTAATCTGAAATACACTAAGTGTAACTAGGATAGGGATAGTTAGCATCGTAGATAGGTTAATGTTAATTTATAAACTCAATTTTGTAAAGATGTTTGATGTAATCCGGATATGTTATATATATTAATAAAGTTTTGCATCTGATGC